AGAGTTCCCACCCTCATGGAGCTCAAGTTGGATAGATGTAGAGGAAATGTCCTGCTGGTCCCTTAGCCTCCTTCAGATCTGGTATGTTAATACGCGTTGCAGGATCGGCCACTCTCCCTGTCTATGGGATACAAAGAATAACTCTGAGGTCCTAGGGGCTGTGGGAACCGCAAGACAGAAGGGATCCTCGTTCCTGAATTGTGCGACTCTTTACCTGGATGCTTCATGTGAGAAAGAAACTTTTATTGTGTCGAGACACTGCGATTCAGGGCTTTGTCTGTTACAGAAGTTGGTGTTACATCATAACCTGGCAGGTGTTGAAAAAGCAAGAGGCAGATGTTGAGGCTGAGGAATAGAAGCACATTCTGGTCCTGAGGCCTGGCCTTGCGTGTCTTTCACACACCCTCGGTTTGTGGTCTCACATGTCTCCTCTCCCCTTACTCTCCTCACGGGCACAAGTTCTTCTGGATGAGCTCACCAGCCAGGTGGCTGAGCCCTGACCTGGAGCTTCACTTAGAGAAGGGATCAGGCTTCACAGGCCCGAGACCTCTGATGCTCACGGCAGGACAGTCATCTGGTCGCCCTCTGACAGCGGGCTGCACGGGCCAGAGCTCCTCAGCTGAGAACAGAAGCAGCAGGAAGAGATGGACAACTGGATCTTGGGAAGGACAGAGGCAGGGTTGCCGGGGCGGTCTCAGCACTGGGGACTCGGGAGCTATCTCTCGGTGTGCCTGCCAGGCCCCCAACACCCGTCCTCCCTGTGAATCCCACTCAACATTCAGCTTCCCAGGAGAGAGAGAGAGTCTGGGTGTGACTGAAGCCTGTGTGGTCCCCTGTAATGTGGGTGCTGATGACAGGACTGCCAGCCCACCAGGCTCACATAGACTGGGAGAGGGATGACTCCTCAAAGGAGGTGATGCCCAGGCCAGACATAGCAGGTTTCCAGGAATCCTCCTAGCAGGGTCTTATTTCCATAGAGGAGCAGACAGAAGGAAGCTGTCTAGAGCCTCTTGGGATCAGCAACCATTGACTTGTCAGCAGCAAATCCGTTTTTATTTTAAAAGGTAAATATTATTGGGGGGACTGACCAAAATCTACCTGCCATCCTTGCCCTGGTGACATCCTGAACTGACAGATACCTGGGCTTGGGGGAAGGGGTGTAAATTAGAAGCAGGGAGGACGCCTGTGGCTCAGTGGGTGAAGCATCTGCCTTCGGCTCAGGTTATGATCCCAGGGTCCTGGGATCGAGTCCCGTATCGGGCTCCTTGCTCTGTGGGGAGTCTGCCTCTCCCTCTGCCTGCCACTCCCCCTGCCTGTGCTCACTCTCTGGCAAATAAATAAATAAAATCTTAAAAAAAAATTAGAAGCAAGGGTGAGGGGCCAGGAGACGTGGATTCTACTTTCACTCTACTTTTGACAAATCATTTCATTATTTCATCACTCCAATTTCCTCATTTAGAAAACAGGGTAACAAAACTTGCTCTGTCTAATTTACAGATTTTTGTGTGTGTGTGAGGGGGAAAACAAAGAGAAGAAAGGGAAGAAAGACAAAATACCAAAATCTCCTGAAAGGACTTTAATTAGCCGAAAATCAAATAAAGAGCGGTTGGTTAGTGACGCCTCTGTTACTGGTTGAATTGTGTTTCCCCCACATATATGTTGAAGCCTTAACCCCCAGTCCCACAGAATGACCTTATTTGGAAAGAGGGTCTTGGAAGATGCAATTAGTTAAGTCGAGATGAGCTCATACTGGAGTAGGGAGGCCCTCAGCCAATACACAGAGAAGAGAAGAGACACAGAGACAGACGCGCAGGGGACGACAGGGCAGAGACTGAAGTGTCACTGCTATAACACAAGGAACGTGAAGGACTGCCAGCCATCACCCGAAACTTGGAAGAGGTAAGCAAGATTCTCCCTTACGGGTTTCAGAGAGATAATGTCCCTGTTGACCCCTCGATCTTGGACTTCTAGCTTCCAGAACTGTGAGACAGTCCATTTCTGTAGCTTTAAGCCACCCAGTTTGTGGTGCTTGCTCATGGCACCCCCAGGGAATTGAATATACATCCTTTAACAAATTCCAAGAGTGCAGCGAAGCTTGGCCACAGCTCTTGGCCCATCACTGAGAGGTTTGTGACCTAGGATGAGACATGGGACATGGGACAAAGACCTGAGTTTCAGGGCTAACATCACTGATGTGAAGGTCACAAAGAGCAAAGGTCAGTTTTGGAAAACTCACAGCAACTAATAAGGCTAAGTAGGTGCAGAGCCAGCATAGTTTAGTCCACACGGACTGAAAGCGTCACTTCTGCCTCAAGAGACGAGTGTGCTTAGAGCAGAACTGGCTCTGGGCAGCCCCCCAACTGCTCTCACTTCCTGCGTGCATGGATTAAGCATCACCCTCAACACCCAGGCCTCCAGCACTCAGGCTCCTGGCCCCACAGGGACTTGGATGCACATGCAATGCATCAGGGTAGCCCACTGTGCAGAGATCACCTTGAAGGGGAAAGCCGTAGGGATGCTATCTGCCAGTTTGTTCCCACATGGCTTTTGGGTGCTTTGTTTTAGAGGAGAAATCATAAAGCTTTTTTACTCTAGGCCCTTCCGCCCTGTGTGAGATTTGTCCAGGCTGAGTGTGGGTCTGGTCCCTGTGTGATGGGCAGGGGCACACAAACCAGTTAAGTGTTTATGCATATGCATTGTAGCTATTGGATCCTCACAATAAACCTATGAGATAGTTACTGTTATCATGTCCATTTTACAGATGAAGAAACAGGCGCAGAGTTCCCACAACTGGTCAAGTCCAACCAAGAATCAAGCCCAGGCCTGTGTGACTCCGGAGCCTGTGATGTTAACTGCTCTATTATATTGCTTTGATGGTTTATTTGGATCAGGCTGTTCTGAATTAACTCTGGATGTAATAATTTAGTAAAAGAAAGAAGGAAAGAAAGCAAGAAAGCAAGCAAGCAAGCAAGCAAGCAAGAAAAACCAGAAAAGCATGTGTGTATGTGTGAAGCTGGGATCTACCTTGACCTTATACTTAAAGGGGGAGGGGAGCTAACATTATGAGCTAAGTGCTTCCATCCAGGTAAACTCATTGACTCTTCCCCATAGCTCTGGGAGGTGGGCATCTCAGAGACATGAACTAACTAGCCAAGGTCACCAAATTGATTGGGGCAGGGCACAAATGTGAATCCGGGTTATCTGACTGCAAGCCTGATGTGTTTTCCATGACCTCTGTGCCAAAAGTGACAGTTGGGATCTGTCCTACCGATCTTGACGGTCTTAGAGTAACTCCCTTAGTGCCTGGCACAAAATAAATATGTATGGGATTGGGTTGAATTAAACCAAAATGAATCTAATGTTCATTAAAAGAGGATTTGATGAATAAATGGACACCATGCAGATGTTACAAGGAAAGAGCTGACTGTGCTGATGTGGAATCTGTTACATGAGCGGTTTAGAGACAAGTATATGTAGTATGATCCCTTTTCTTTTTTGAAGAGATTTTTTTATTTATTCATTTGAGAGAGAGAGAGAGTGCAAACGAGAGCATGAGTAGGGAGAGGGGCAGAGGGAGAGGGAGAAGCAGACTCCCCGCTGAGCAGGGAGCCCAGTGCGGGACTCGATGCCAGGATCCTGGGATCACAACCTGAGCTAAAGGCAGACGCTCAACCTACTGAACCACCCGGGCACCCCTATGATTCCTTTTTTTGTAGGAAAAAAAAATTCCTTACCTATGGCTATCACTGTTCGTATATACAAAGGAAAAGTCAATGTGTGTTAAACAACTTCAAAGTAATAATAATGCTTATCTTTGAGGGTAAGGATCATGGAGGACTTTCACATATTTTATAATAAGAAAAACCCTGAAGATACTTGCATTTTGCAAAGTGCAAGAACAAAAGGAAGGAAAAGAAAGACCTGTTGTTGGGCGCCTGGGTGGCTCAGTTGGTTAAGCGACTGCCTTTGGCTCGGGTCATGATCCTGGAGTCCCGGGATCGAGTCCCGCATCGGGCTCCCTGCTCGGCGGGGAGTCTGCTTCTCCCTCTGACCCTCCTCCCTCTCATGCTCTCTGTATCTCATTCTCTCTGTCTCAAATAAATAAATAAAATCTTTAAAAAAAAAAAAGACTTGTTGTTTCTGGTGGCAATAGATCCCACCAGAATGGGGATCAACTCGGACCCGGATTCATCATGTCAGCTCCCTCAGGATGGGCCCTGGAGCCCCATAGGAGAAAAGGGTTCGTTCAGAACCCCTTCCCCCCTTCCCTCTCCTTGGACATTCTGAAATATTTTCATTTACAACAAAATTATGAGCCCACAGCCAGGAACCAGGACTCCTTGGGAATGGGGCTGGAACATCTTTTTGTGTTGGGGTCAAGTCAGAAGTTCCCAGAAACTAACCTGAAGGGGCACCTGCTGGCTAAATGTGGGGTGCTTTGAATATTGAAAAAACTGCAATAAATTGAATCACACTCATTTTTCTGAAAGCTGGTAAATAAAGGGAAAAAGCCAAGTAAACTTGCCTTTCCTGTATGAACTATACCTAATAGTAAGCAAATTGTTGATGAACGTTTTTTTTTTGTTTGTTTCTGTTTTTGTTTGTTTGTTTTTTTGAATAGAAGAACTCTGGCTAACAAACACAGGAGGAAAAAACAGAATTAGAAAAAAATCTCTATTTTGCAGCCCTAATGATAGCATGGATCTAAGCAATGATAATTAGTGGTTGCAGAAACCTTTGGGTAAAATGCTGAAGGAAACTGGTCATGGATGGATGGATGAGCCTAACAGCTCCCGAACCTACTCGTCAGTTCTAACCTTGTAAATAAAGAGGCTCCAGGCATGATCTACCTCCTGATGGGCTACTATGGGATGTACCCAGCACTACGGATGAAATATTCTTGCCACAAAACCAGGCCCTAGAGCCAACTGCCATTTTGTAGGAAAGATGGACTCAGAACCAAGTTGCATGATACCTCTGGATTTCAACCTGCAAAATTCAGAATGCGGTCAACTCTACACATGGAAAGAGACATAGAGACAGTTCAAATAAATGCAATTTGAAGACTTTATTTGCATACTAATACACACAAGTCACTGGTAAAAATGACCCAACATTTCCCAGACAATAGGGAACATTTGAACACTGATTGCCTATTTAAGAATATTACAAGGATTTATGGATAAATCTTGGATGTGATGATTTATGATGCAATGCTAAGAATTTGCTTCGGGATAATGCAGGTAGGTGGGCTGGGTAGCGGAGGGGGCGTGGGTGCAGATAAAACAGGCCTGGCCATGTGCAGGTGAGTTATGAAAGGTGGGAGGGGGGGTGTTGCATGGGGATTTATTGTGCTATAATCTCTCCTTGTGTACATGTCTGGAGATTTCCAAAAGAAAATGTTAGCAACAAGCAATAAAAAGTATGGGCATACAACTTAATTTTTCCGTCATGATGGCGGTGGAAGTGGTGTGTGTGTGTGTGTTCTCATGCTCTATTTGGACCCAATTCAAGTTGCAGCTCTAGAACAACTGTATCCTCCTGAAAATGACTTTTTGACCATTGTGAAGAATGCCCCAACCGAACGAACGGGCACAGCTGGATTTCTAAGGGGTATCATGCAGCCAGGCTCAAACACAAGGCCGCGACTTAGGGGACTGCCGGGGCCAGCCCAACACGGTTATTCCCACGATCGAAGACTGAGTAAAACTGCCTAATGAAGACATCACCCAGGATCCAGAGGGGCCCAGCGGGAGGCTGGATGTCAAGCCCTTGAAAGCCGCTGCTGCAGAACTCCATTCCATCCACAAAGTCCTGGGGTGGGAAAGAAGGTGTAAGTGACATAGAGGGAGAAAGGGAAGTAGGGCTGCCTGGAGGCTGTCCTGTGTGGTAGTGATGTAGACTATACCGAACGGCCTTGGTCGGTCATGATGTTGGCTGGTTGGTTCTTCCTTCCGCTTCATACACCTCCACTTGTGTTCACACCGTTTTGTATATGTGGACCTGGGCTTCTAAGTTCTACAATTTTGAGAACTGTTCATCTGTCGTACATGCTCCCTGCCTCCCATTTTATAACTGGGAAAAGTGAAACCTTGTTCCATGATCGGAAGAGCAAAAGGTTTGGCTTTAGAAGATCTTGGCTTAAGTTCTGGTTTCTTTAGTTTCTAGTGAAGCTCAACTTAATTTTTTAAGGGAGAGAAATTACATTGCTGTTTTCTTGATGTTCTGGGGAAGAATCCTTTTTTAGGTGTAAGGCAAGTAGGCATCCATTGTCCTGTGAGGAGAGTGTAACGTCCCCCAACCTTACTTTCTAGTTTGGCAAAGACTTGGGGTCTACCAGGCAGGTGTGGGCTTTCCAACAACCATTTGAGATTTGAGGTTGCTGATGAGGGTCTGGGAAGTTTGCAGAGAGCTTAAAGCATCTTCTTGAGAGGAAGGGGATAACCATGCACTTCTGTTGCAGCATTCTTGGCAGATTGAGGTGGCTCTGATTGAAATCTCCTGGCAGAAAAGGACAAGGGCACCACGCTGGGCATAGGGAAGGAAGTGGGGTGAGCAGGGACTCACATAGGGTGCAGGTGGGAGAGTATGAGGGTACCGGAGTGCCAAAGGGTATATAGGCTGATGAGCTTGGCACAGTTAAAGTGTCTAGCTTGTCCCCAGTTTGGTGTTCATAGTGGCAGCTCCAGAATCCCTTTGTTGGGGAAGCTTAGGGGGCTTGACATGAAGCTGTGTTTTAAAGTGAAACATTTGTTTTCTTAGTAGTGCAATTGCTGGACCATAGGGTAGTCCTATTTGAGGACCCTCCATACCATTTTCCAGAGTGGCTGCACCACATTGCATTCCCACCAACAGTGTAAGAGGGTTCCCCTTTCTCCACATCCTCTCCAATACCTGTTGTTTCTTGCCTTGTTGATTTTAGCCATTCTGACATGTGTGAGGTGGTATCTCATTATAGTTTTGATTTGTATTTCCTTGATGATCCGTGATGTTGAACATCTTTTCATGTGTCTGTTGGCCAACTGGATGTCTTCTTTGGAAAAATGTCTATTTGTGCCTTCTGCCCATTTTTAATTGGATTATTTGTTTTTTGGGTGTTGAGTTTTGTAAGTTCTTTATATATTTTGGATACTAACCCTTTACTGGAGTATGTCATTTGCAAATATTTTCCCCCATTCTGCAGACTGCCTTTTAGTTTTGTTGATTGTTTCCATCACCATGCAGAAGCTTTTTATTCGATGAGTTCCTAATAGTTTATTTTTGTTTTTGTTTCCCTTGCCTCAGGAGACATATCTAGAAAGAAGTTGCTATGGCCAGTGTTAAAGAGGCTACTATCTGTGTTACCTTCTAGGATTTTATGCAATTGCACTTCTAAGTATTTATCCAAAGAATACAAAAATATTAATTCAAAGGGATACATGCACCCTGATGTTTATAGCAGCATTATCCACAATAGCCAATAGCCAAATTATGGAAATAGCCCATGTCCATAGACTGATGAATGGATAAAGAAAATGTGGGATATATATATATATGAATGTTAGTCATAAAAAGAATGAAGTCTTGCCATTTGCAGTGTTGTGGGTGGAGCTAGAGAGTATAATGCTAAGCGAAATAAATCAGTCAGAGAAAGATAAATACCATATGATCTCATTCATATGTGGAATTTAAGAAAGAAAACAAATGAGCAAAGGGGAAAAGAGAGAAACAAACCAAGAAACAGACTCTTAACTATGGAGAACAAACTGCTGGTTACCAGAGGGGAGGTGGGTGGGCGGATGGGTGAAACAGGTGATGGGGATTAAGGAGGGCACTTGTGATGAGCACCGGGCATTGTATGAAAGTGTCGAATCACTATATTGCACACCTGAAACTAATATTGCTCTGTGTTAACTAACTGGAATTTAAATAAAAACTTTAAAAGAACATTTGTTTTCACTTGCATTGTCTGTTTATGCTTGGTGGCTTGGGGAAAGCGTTAATGGAGATCAAGGTGTGTGTGAGGGGTAGGTAAGTCCCTAAAGTGCTCCACACCTCAGCACCTCCATTCTGACGCAATCACCCTGGTGCTGTGGGTGACTCTCTGGTAAAGTTAGTGTGTTGAGTGTCACCAAAGAACGGCATGTGATATGGAAAATCTGGGCCAACTGTGGTGTGAATTGATCATAGATTTCCCCCCAGGGACTCCCTTTCTACCTCATCCTACAAACTTAGGAATCTACTGCAATAGAAGACCCTTTCTGGTTTGAGGAGAACGTTAATCTGAACGTGAGAAGATACAACCTCATTCCGTACCTCCTCCCCAAGTAGCTCATATCTTGAGCCTCTTAACTTTCCAAGTCTCAAAATCCTCATCCACAGAATGGGATAATAATATCCAATCTTACTGGGTGTTTGAGGGATTAAACTTGGTCAGTTGAAAAGTCCTACATGACAATGTCGGAAAACTTCACTAGATGGCTTGTCCAAGGTTTACTGCTGCTTCATGGCTGGATGGGAATGGAGAGAGAACCAGCCTGGTGGTCTTTCCCCCATAGGCAGCTTTGTCCTTTCTAGAGGGAACGCCCCTTCAGTGCAGGAGAAGATGGGAGCGGGGCTTGGGCTAGATGCAGCCTGGGTACAGGCGACCGAAAAGAGGAAGTGGTGGGCTCGTGGGGAAGGCCCCATGCCTTGAAGAATAAGGAAACAGTTCTTACCAGCAGGGTATAGGCAGTTGGTTGGAGGGTGTAGGAGACGCCAGTGATGGTGAAGGTGACATCCGGCATGACGTTGAGGTTGGCACACTCCACCCCATACTAAAACAACACAGAGGACCCATTTAGAGGCCTCCCCGCTCCCCTGCTCCCGCCTCCTCCCTACCCCAGGCGGCACTGACTTCTCCATCCATGGGTTCGGCCCCAATGGCCTTCTGCAGCTGCTTGATTTTGTCTGAGGGGCCTGTGATGAGGGAAGTCCCTGTGTCCACAATGGCCTGGCAGCCCTCGGAGCAGAACATCACCGCGCCTCCCACCTGGATTCTGAGGACAAAGAAAATGTCATCAGCCAACCCCTGCCCCCGCCCCCACCCCCGCTGTCCCCCTTCCCCTCAGCCCTGAAGTTTCCCAGCCTCCCCAGCAGCTCTCACCCCCTGCTGGGCTTTCAAATACAAATGATTTCCAGTTTGACTGTCTCACACATCAGTATTTCTCAGTTTTTCTGTGACTGAGATCCATACCAGAAAACACATTTACTTTTGGACCCAGTACACACACACACACACACACATGAAATAAAAATGTCACGAAACAGGGCTCAACCTTAGTATATGAAGTGTACTCTGATATTTTCTATTTTATTCCATTTCATTAAAAATGCACGTCATGATCCCCTAAAATGAGATCATGACCCATAAATGGGTAAGTCCCTCTGGCTTGAAAAACCTCAGTAGACAGTGAGCACTGAGGCTTTTCGCCGTTACATCCCCAGTGACTAGCACATGCCCTCACCTTGCAGAAGCTTATTCTTGGCGGAACTGAAACCTGAATTGCATTTCTTTAAATTCCTGCATTATCTGACACAGTGCTCAGTATGTGACAGGCATCTGGTCCCACGTCCCTGATTGCTCCATGCCCGCCCCGCCACACGTCTGCGCGTATGGATGTCAAGGCCCAGTCCATGTCACCTCCTTCATGAAACCCTTGCTTGAGGAGTTCTTCGGGTAGAAGCTGTCTTGCCCTGTCTGCCAGGCCACTCCTTTGGCACGTCTTGTGGAACACTGACCACCTCCACCTTACAATGATAGTGGTGTGTATGTGTCTCATCTTCTGGACATGCTTCGTGGAGGCGAAACCTGAGTCCAGTTCACTCCTGTACCCCCATGTCACCCACCCCTGGCCCTATGTGTGAATTGACATTAAATGAGCCCCAAGTAATTGGCAGAGGATTTTTATTTATTGTCTCTTGACTTGAGGGCGCAGCATGCGTACCAGGAGGGAAGCTGAGATGTGGTACCTCGTGCCTGTTGCCCTGGCAACCGCGGCCCCTTCCTGTACCTTTGCTCAGCACCTCCACACTTCTGGCTTCACACGACGAGCCCTCAGGCTCCTCTCCCAGGGACCAGCACACTGATTCAGGTCAATTCAATGAAATTCTTTTTCAATTCAACTGGCCTTGTGCCCGTCTTGAGTTCTTGTCTGTACCATAGCTACTTTGTGGAGAATACTCACGCATCCAGGGCAATCTGCCAGTAGCCTTGCTTGGTGACAGGGACCCAGTTCAGATTCCCGGAGAAATGGGAGTGGTCATAGCCGCCGAAAATGAGTTCACTCCCCGCACCGCCTTCTGGGTCACTGCAGGGAAAGAAAAAGACAGATTGTCAGGGAAGGGCCACTGGGATACCCTAGGAACAAGCTGGTCATGTACACCAAGTAACCAGATAGGCAGAAATATCAGCCTGGGCTTTGACACCAGGGCTCCCAACTACTGCAAGTTGATTAATCTGGGCTTTTTGGGGCAGAAGGATAGAAGTATAGAAATAGCTCTGCTTGATGATTTGTGAATGTCTTCTTGCTTCTTGGATAAAAGGGCTAGGGAGGAGGTAGATGGGGACAGCTACTCTGGTCATGCAGAACTCATGAAGAACCAAGGCTAGGACCACTGGGGTATGCACATACCATGCGACTTATGCATCCCCAAAAAGCCTTTTCCACCAAGTATCTTTCCCACTATTGTTTTGGTGGTGCCTGGAGTTTCCATATGATTCACTCCATCGTGTTAAGGTGAGGAAGCTAATGGGAATGCAACATGACTTATGAGAACTTGAAACTTTATTAATTTTCATTGGTGTTGATTTTTCAGAGTGTGATCTGGCACCTAACAGGATTCTGGGGAAATAGGACATGAAACTAATTCATTTTTAGGAGGAAAACGATCAGAAAAATACAAAACTCAGGGCGCTGCGAGGCCTGGTGGTAAAGGGGAAAGGAACCGGGTATTGTGGGTATCTTAGGAAAGCAGACTTAGGGAGGTGGGGGGAAGAACCGCCATTAGTTGACGGCCTTTGTGCAGGGCCCTGGGCGAAGAATTTTACCTGCTTAATCCTATTTATTTCTTACATCAACCTTGTGCCCATTTGAAGAAACTGAGCCTCGGGGCATCAGTCCATGTCAGCCAGATGGCAAAGCCTTTGCTCTTTCCCACCTTCCCCTCTGGCTTTCCGGGTTGGAAGGGAGCAGGGGGGCAGCAGAGGGGTCTGGGCAACCTGCCATCTTGCTCACAGTTCTGCCCTGTAGTTGGTCCCAACTACAGCCATGCAGTTTAATAAAGGAAATTCAAGGCTCTCCACGTGGAAGTGGAAAACAAGGGAAATGGGCTTGCGTGAAAACAGGGTAAGCTGAGGCCAGATATACCGGGGAGGAGTTAGAAAGGTCAGAAATCTCTGTCCTATGTAGGGATGAAGGTGAGATGACCCTTTCAGGATCCCAGGCAAGAGTGGCCAGAGGCCGGTGAGCCACATGACCTTTTCCAACTACAGGAGGCAATTTTTTAAAAAATTGCATAAATTGGCCATTTTTAAATGTACAGTTCAGTAGTGTGAAGGCTATTCATGCTGTGGTGCAGCCAGTCTCCAGAACCTTTTCATCCTGTGAAACCACAAGTCTATACTCATTAAACAACAGCTTCCTTCCCCTCCCCCCACACCTGGCAACCACCATTCTACCTTCTGTCCCTGTGAATCTGACTACTCCAGGCACCTTTGTGTAAGGGAACTCATGCACAATTTGTCCTTTTGTGACTGGCTTGTTTCACTTGAAATAAGGTCCTCACGGTTCATTCTCTGGTAGCCTGTGTTGGAATCTCCTTCCTTTTTCAGGCTGAATAATATTCTATTTTATGTAAATTCTGCATCTTATTATGTCCTTAACATCCCATTATTTTATCGTCAGCTTCCTTTGGAATTTTTTCCTGCCTCCTCCCACAGGAATCAAGCTTCCTGAGGGCAGGGACTGTCTTCCTCGTCTTACTATGCTCCCCATGCCCAGCACTGTGGTCGCCACACAATAGGAGCTTGATAAACATTTATTCCCTGCACAAATGAATATCCAACCCCAGAGATTCCTCCTATTGGTTCAGTGCAGTATAGTTTACAAAGTGAGGCAAACCCCATTTCCTCAATATCCAGAGAGGGTAAGCCCAAGGTCACACAGCTGGTAATAGGTCAAGCAAGAGATCCAAGCCAGGTGTTTGACTGCTAAGTCTAGTGCTCTTTGAGCTGCACCCATGTTGTCTCCCTGTGGTTGTAACTGACCTTCACCTTGGTGGGCTTGCCAGGCCTACCTGCTCATGTACACAGAGAACATGGGTATATCCACCAGGTTCTGCGCCATCATGTTGTCGAACACTGGGGTCACCCCTCCCACAGCCAAGGAGGGGTATCCCAGGCCCAGAATTCCATCAAACTCTGCATTCACAAAGGTCTGGCCCGGCTCCGTGACACTCTCTCCAAATTGCTGGCCGGCCACAACCAGTCCTTCCACCTGATGGGAGAAAGCCCGAAATAAAACTGCTTGGGAGAGCTTTGGTACAGTCTCAGATTCCCAGATTCTCCCTCTGGTCTGAAGTGAATTCTTCCCCCACCCAACTTGATTAAATGAGCACAGTGATTTCACCACATTCCCACACCCTTAATTTTTTTTATGTAGACTTCAAAAAAAATTGAAGTTGAATACAGAAATCCTAAGCGTACAGTTCGGTGCGTTTTCACAAACTCACCCTGGTCAGCAAGCTCCCAAACCGGAAGTTGCTTCATGCACCCTGCTAATCGTTGTACCTTTCCTCAATAACACCCATCTGCTGGCTTCCAACATCTACTGCTTTTGCCTTTTCTTGAATTTTACATAAACAGAATCATACAGGATGAATTCTTTCCTATCTGGCTTCTGTCACTCAACATCATGTAGTGTACTATGTTGAAATTTCGTTCAATGTCATCAATATCCTGTGGTATGAATAACCGTCATTATCCATTCTACCATCGATGGGTATTTGGATTGTTTCCTGTGGTGACTATCGCTAACAGTGCTGCTTGGACATGACTTTTGATGAACATGCACTCATACTTCTGTTGGACATATGCCTAGAGGTAAAACATCTACAATGTATTGGAAGTTTGATAATGTGTGAGGTCGGAGTCCAGATTTTTTTTTTTTTTTAACTTTATGGATATCCAAATGACCTGGCACCATATTTAATAAACACACTCTCATTTCCTCCACTGCCAGTTTCATGGTCAACAGAATTCAGAGTAGTTTCTGAGTTTTCCATTTTGTTCCATTTGTCTATTTGCTTATCTTGTGGCAATACCACACTGTCTCAATTACTATAGCTTTATAATAGGTCTTGATATTCGTAGTGTTTTTCTTTATCTAGATTGTCTTGGTGTATTACATAACCATATACATTTTAGAATGAGCTCATCAATTTCTGTTGTTTTGACTGAGATGACATTAAGATCTATAGATCGATTTGAAAAAACTTCGACTTGTCCATAATACCGAGTCATGAAATACTGAGTCATTTCTATTTATGTAGATCTTCCTTAATTTCACTCAATACGTTTTCCAGGTTTTGGAGTGGAGATATTGCACATTTTTTGTTAAATTTATTTGTAGGTATTTGATGTTTCTGATGTTATTATAAGTAATGTCATTACAAAATCTATTTTCCATTTGTTTTTCCTGATATTCAGAAATACAAACGAGTTTGTTTATCTAGTATTCAGCAACTTTGCTAAATAATTATTAATCCCAATGGTCTGTAGATATTTTTGGATTTTTTACATATAGAATCTTGTCATATGTGAATAATACAACATAGTTTCTTCCTTTACAATCTTAATGCCCTTAGTTTCTTTTTTCTTGCCTTATTGCGCTGAGAGCACCTGTGACTCTTTTTTTTTTTTTTGCCTTAACTCATTCTCGAAAGGCTGCCCCCCAGGCTTTCTGCTCTGTGCACTCTTCCTCTGTGGTATTCCTCCGTGCTGCCATTCTAGAACCCAGCACCCTGAGCAGACTGGCCCACTGCCGTTAGTTCAGGCAGGGAGTGCTACTCCTGCCTGGCCAGGCTTCCCCCTTTCCCTGGAAGCCAGCTCCTTGTTTCCACCTCTTCCTGAGGCAGATCTGAAAGTGTTCCCCTAAAGGCTCTGAACAATATTCTGTATCCCAAGTTTCTGGCCCAAAGAGAAGAGATGAGGGAATTGTACTCACATAGACTTGGTCAGCTCCGATGATTCCAGACAAGCTCCCAGTCCCATACTGAATGGAGAAATGACTCCCTAGCACACTGTATGTGTTGGACTGGGAAGGGTAGAACCTGGCGTGTGTCTCTGGAAAAGCAAAAATGCCGCTGTTGCCTGGGCCACCAGCTCGCTGCCTTCCTTCCTGCCCTGAGACCCCACAGATGCAGGATCTCTTCCTTCAACTCCCAAGATTGAGAGGGGGCCTCGAGAAAGCTTGGCCATGGCCCACCTTAGTGAGGTACCACATTCTTCTCTAGCCACATGTGGTGGCTTAACTGGGGACCAACTAGTCATCCCTGGGCAACCATGGTGGCTCACAGTGACCTCATGAGGCACACGGAGATAAGCATCATGTATCAGGCGCCGGCAGAAGTCTCTGTCAACTAGGGGGGGTCAGAGCCTGGCATTCAAAAGAATCCCAGGGATAAACAAATGCCGCTCCAGGCAATGACTCTCAATTCCTTGCCCAACCTGTAGACACCTAATCTAGGGGTTTTCTGAGACATCGTGTCTCTAGAACTTATCCAGCATAGACTCAGACATCTTTCTTTAGCTCTTTCCTTTCTAATGCTAACAAAGACACCTGAGTTACCTCTGGCCAAACTGACCCACCCCCGTATCGTGCCCCACCAGCCCCACCTCTGATATCCTGGGATAGGCCACCAAGCCCTCTTGAAGCGGGTGAATAGTCAGCACTAGAACCCAACCCACCTACCTGCCCAGAAACAGACATTTGAATGGAACGTTCCCCATTCTTTTGGGTGTTCCAAAGGGAGTGAGTCATGCAGTATTCAAAGATTTGTACTGAGTTTGTATTTTCGGTGGCTGAGTTTCCTCCTATTAATTCTGGTCAGTATGAAAGTTGCTAGCTTGGATACCAATCAAATTTTAGCTTTCTCCCTGGCCCAGCCCTGTTTCTACCGTAGGTAGTCCCAGGGCAGACTCAGAGGTGGAGAGGGGAAGCTGGTGTGGCGTGCACGGCCAGTTTCTGGAGCTGCCATTCCCTGCTGCGGATCCTGGCCCTACTTACTGCAGGCTGGGCTGGTGCAGTACACAGAGGGGACCCAGAGGTTGGAAGAGCCAGTGTCAAAGATGACGGTGAAGTTCTGCGGTGGAGAGCCGATGGAGATGGTGCCGAAGTATTCCATCTATAGGGGAGGGAGGGAAGGGAGCCGAGTGAGGGTGGTAGGAAAGGGGAAGGTGCTCACCGGGGGGCCTAGGGAGAGTTCTCTGGGACCAGACCCTGGCTAGCACAGACTGGAGCTTACAGAGCCTGGGGAGTGGCAACAGAAGGTAGAACTAGCAGACAAAGGGCTACAAGGGAGGAAATCAAATCAAGTCTCCCACCCTCTACTACTTCTTTAGCTCTCATTTGCGTTATTCCTCATAATCCCTTTGTGAGCAAGGCAGAAGAGGCAGTAATCCTTTTGTTCTACAATCAGGGAAGGGAAGCTGGTGAAGGTTAAATCATTTGGCCAAGGACACACAGCAGGGCCCTTCTGTTTGGGATGCCATTTCTTTTGCAGAGAGCTCTACACATTTGGGCACACTGGGGCTTGCTCGGTCAAATCCATGGGGACCCAGGGGATCAGTCCTTATGGGTTATCCTAGAGGAGAAATCCACACTGGCCTTTACTTCAGTGTTGCTGACCTGACACTGGCCATGCCCAGAGGCCAAGCCATCCTCCCCTCACCCCCTTCCCCAGCCCCTGCCCCAGAATGCCTCACATCCAAGTAGTTGATGAGGGGCTCGTTGGCATCCTGGTTCATCGTGCAGGACTCAGTGAACTGGATCATATCCAAATTCTGGGATTTCCAGAACTCAGAGAGCTGGCCCCGTGCCCGCAGCTTCTTCCGGAGGGACTGATGCCTCCTGAGGGGCACCCTGAGGACAAAGCCCCGTGTGAGACAGAGATGCAGTTCTGCCTCTCTCAGACCCTCCCCTCTCCCCACCCCATTTTTCCAGAGGTAAACTGGGAGATTACACAGGAGAAGATTTGCAAGGCAGCAGAGTTGCCAGAATGGGCCACAGTTTGGCGAGAATTAGTGCCCTCTCTGCCCCTGGCCTGTCGGTCTTGTCTCTGCTCCTGAAGAATCTCAGAATCTTTGACTTGAAGTGGCCCTCCCTCTCAGAGATGAGCTCTTTGAGGTCGTCTAGGAAAACGATCTGCAGTTGTGCATGAACCTCATAAGGGGCTGATTTAAAGGGACAGAAAGACTCTTGGAGGCAGCCATGGTCAGTCCCTTGGGCAAGTACTCGGTCCTTTGAGCTCCCAACCAAAGCTGCAGGTTCCTGCTCTTTAATAATGTGAGAAGCTCCCTGGGACTTGGGCAGGCAGTTCCATCAGAGGTGGGGCAGAGGGATGGCTTGTGGTGGGCTGGGGGTCAAAGCCAACACAAGATGGCCACTTTTCCCAGCCCTCAGTTTCTTCTCCTCTTCATTTCCCCATCAGCTTTCCTCTCCCAGGGCAGCGCTAAGCCTGAGGGCAGGCAGCTGCCCCCACCGGACGCAGTGCTGGGGACGTGGCCTCACCTGTGGAGCCGATGTTGAGCCAGCCCCAAGTCCAGGAGCACCAGCAGCAAAAGAATGAGTGTTTTCATCGTGAGCCCAACCAGCAGCTTCTTCCTCGCTCTGCCGTGGCCTTCCTTGCCGCCTCTCCTTTCTGCTTTCCCACAGGCCAGTGGGCGCAAATCTCCCTAACTCTCAGATCTGCCCTGCCCAGCCTAGTCTGAGGACCCAATGATAAGGCCTCTTGCGTCAATAGCCAGGCCCAGAACAAACACAGCGTGTGTTAACAGGGCATTTCACTTCCTTCCCTTAGCCCCCCTTTCCCTCCAGCAGGGGCAGGGGTGGGGGCTTCGTGGATCTGGGGTGGGACTTGGGGGTCTGTGCATCCTCCAAGAGCAAGACAGCGATGCAGTTTCAACTTCTCCCAGAAATTTTGGTGTCCTCCCCTGATCCCTAGAGACCCTGTGGTCATTCCTTGAGAGGGCACTGTGCCCCTGGGCCCTGGGCCCTCTCCACCCACGTGTTACCACGAGTGGTTTGGCTGAGGACTCCCAGCCAGAAGTGGGTAGAAGACCAGTCATCACTTGTGGGACAGGATTCTAATTCAAAACACCAATCAGGTTGTTTTCTCTGTATTTCCTATTCTCCCCTTTTTCCCTCGGGAGCCCCAAGGGCAGTTGACCCACCCTCCATCCACTTTGAGGCAGAGACTAGCACTCCTCAAAGCCCCTGAAATGGGATACTGGGCTTGGGGAGCTAGTTTTTTGCATCCCAAGGACTTGATGAATCTGGGGTGGAGGGAGGTTTGGAAAATACAGAAGCAGTCCTGGGCAGGGGGAGTGGGAGGTCCTGCACGTGGTGGGGGGCATGGTTCTGGAGCAGGTTCCCGTATTAGTTTGCTAAAGCTACCATAACAACTTGACACAGATTGGGTGGCTTAACAGAAATGTATTTGCTCGGGATTCTGGAGGCTAGAAGTCCAAGATGAAGGTATGGACAGGGTTGGGTTTCCCTGAGGCCTCTTTCCTTGACTTATGGAGATGGCCACCTTCCCTCTTCCCTCTGTGTGTGTCTGTGTCTTGATTTCTGCTCCTTAGAAGTCATATTGGATTGGGGCCCACTGAAAAGACCCCATTTTCACATAATTAACCTCTGTTGAGACTTGATCTCTACATACAGTCACATTCTGAGGTACTGGAGGTTAAGACCTCAACGTAAGAATTTGGGGGGATACAAGTCAGTGCGTAACAGTGTCCACAGACAGCAGGACCCTCAGTCTGTTCTGGTGAGTAGGGGGCGGTGGAGCTCAGTGCTTGGTTATCCCAGCATGATTAGCTATTGCTATGAACCCATCTCTATGGCCATCTCACTTCTTAAACAGAGGGTGGGCTTTATCGCCTTGAGTGAGGATGGAGGGTGGTGGGGAGGAGCACCTTCCCCTGACCATGACCCAGAACCGGGGCAGTCGAGGCTCTGGAGTGTAGGCAGAGAACCAGGGTTCAGGTCAGCTTTGCTCTGACTAGCCAGCGACCTGGCAGTGTTTTAGCTGCTGCCGTGGGCTCTGCTTTCCCTCTTAGAAGCCCAAGCAACAGGCTAACTTGGGGTTCGGAGCTAAGTGGAGCGCTGCCTTGGGCTCCAAAAGTGTTTAAAAGAAAGCCTCTTCAACATTTACCCCCTGTCAGTTCTCTTTGACCTTTCACTGGGGATGGAGGTCTGCCCCCAGGAGGGCAGCGTGAGCCAGAAGAGGCTAGACATTGAGATAATTCGTGTTGGCATTTTGCTCTGTCATGACTTGCCCAGGATTACCCGACCACTAGGTACCTTAGATTTGTTATCTGCCGAGTACCCTACATACATTGTTGAGTTTTAAGGAGGATTAAAAACACACAATATGGTATGTGGAAGTACTTGAGAAACAGTAATATGTCATCTGACTGAAGATCTTCACTATAAAAACCGTGCACCCGGGGCGCCTGGGTGGCTCAGTTGGTTGAGCGACTGCCTTCGGCTCAGGTCATGATCCTGGAGTCCCGGGATCGAGTCCCGCATCGGGCTCCCTGCTCGGCGGGGAGTCTGCTTCTCCCTCGGACCCTCCCCCCCTCTCATGTGCTCTCTCTCTCATTCTCTCTCTCAAATAAATAAATAAAATCTTTAAAACAAAACAAAACAAAACAAAAACCGTGCACCGGGAGACTTCTTGCCATTACGGCAAGCCTGCTTACATAGCAGACGAAGACACTGAGGCACAGAGAGGCAGAGTGACAGCCCCAGGAACATGTGGTTCCTTTAGTGCAGAGCTAGGGTTAGGACCCTGACCTCCTCACTCCCAGTCCGGGGATCTTTCTGCTACAGAATGATCATCGTTACCACTGCGGATGATTTGGGAACAAACGCCCTTGGGGGTGCCTGGGTGACTCAGTTGGTTAAGTGTCTGACTCTTAATCTCAGCTCAGGTTTTGATCTCAGGGTCAGGAGTTCAACCTGCAATGGGCTCCACGCTGGGCATGGAGGCTACTGTAAAAAAAAAAAAAAAAAAAGCCTTTGGATATATGCCTGTTGGTGTGTGTATGTGTGTGTCCTTTAAGAAAAGAGAGGGAAGAGCATTTGGGGTGAAATGGTACCATGTTGACAAGAACAGGCCATAGTATGGGCAAGGATCCTATCCTTCAGCACTGAGAGAGGCTCTTTGGAAAGAAAGAGGGATCCTCAGGGATGTGGACTGGAGGCTGGTTGGATGCAGAGCTTTTTTGCCTGTTTCCAGAACATTTGAAAGCTCTTGGTGGGACACCGTCCAATCAACTTCTCGTTTCTGGAGCTTCAGTTTGAGAAGATAAATTAACAATAAGAGGATGGTTTCTCAGTGCTCTGTGGACATCAGCTTTATCATACCTATCCGGTAGGTATTATTTTAAAGCCCATTTTACAGATGAGATAACTGAGGCGCCGAGAGTTTAAGCAACTTGCATAAGGTGCTGTAATCAGCATTCAAAGCCAGGTTTGCCTGACTTTAAAGTTGATGATCTGTATTGGGTGATCTCGAGGGTCTGACGTTCGAGAATTTCTTCCTGGGAGAGAAAGACCAAGAGAGAGGATGGGAGGGAGGGGGAGAGGGGAAAGGGGGAGAGAAACTAATTTTCCACGTGATGGAAAATTTGAGGCCTTTTAATTGTAAGAAGAGAGAAGGGTGTGTGGAGGGTGGCAGGTGGTGGTGAGGAGCTGTGTGATGAGCAATCTTGTCATTGCTTCTTTTTGGCAAATATTTTCTATTTTGCCTTCAAGGAGCCTCTCCGCAAGGATCATTACTGTACTGCTGACAGGTGCAAACCGCCCCCCATACCCCCTTCTGCTAGTTACCCCTGACCCAGACGCTGACTTCTGAAAACTAGAAGTTTAAGGTTATTTTTTGCTTGTTGCTGAGAGAGCTCCTGACACAAAGACTTGCTTTTCCCAGTGGCTTGATCTGCTCTGGTTTGGCAAAGCCTCTTGTTTTCATGCAACTGGAAAAAAAGAAAGATCCGATGTCTCCAGCATCTTGCCGTGTCAAGAATTCAGTTAGTGTGAGTCATTTCCAAAACCACTGTCAACCCTATTCTGGGAAAGTGCCTTTCAGACCAGAAATGATTGCAGTTCACCCTGCAGAGGACACAGGCACTGGGGCGGTCCGTCACTTGAATGCTGCACGTGTGTGCGTGTGCACTTGTCCTGTACCTGTGAGCAGGAAGAACAGCATGCCAACAGCATCCGTTTCTCTGCTTGTTACTGAGCCCAGGCTTTGAAAGCCAGACGAGGCAGGATTTGGCATCCATCCCTGCCACTTAGGTGGAGGTGTGATATTGGGGTTGTTTGGGATCATTAGATTGCTCTGCTGCAGAAAAGGAAGAACGGTTTCCTTGCAGGATGATGTGAGGATTCCATGAGACCATCCTCAGGAGGCGGGCTTTCTATGTGCCACTCAGCCCAGTGCTTGACACCCAATTAGCACTTAATACTGGGGCCCTGGCTACGCGATACAGACCAGGGCAGGTGCCGGACATGGACTAATGCCCGTTCTATGCCATCTGCCGTTCAAAGTGCTTTAAACATCCTCACTCATGCAATTCTCCCAAAGACCCCAAGAGGTAAGTAGTACCAGAGAGGTAAAGGAATTTGTCCGAGGTCACACACCTGGTTGTAATGGAACCGGGCTTGAACCCAACTAATCTCTCTATGAATCTGTGATCGTTTACAACTCCCACTGCCGTCTGTAGTCTATACGTATGTTACTGTATGTATTAGCTTGCCAAAATACGTCGTGGAGACTATCTGCCCTTTTGTGTCTTTTAACAGTTCAGGAAAGCGATCAAGACTTCTGCCTGTCCTCAGTTCTTCCTGTGTGATCAGGGGCTCGACCATTTAAAGGCTGGGAAATGAAAAAATAAATAAATAAAGGCTAGGAAATGAAAGTGCTCTCCGACCCTTAGTTTCTTTATTTGTACAATGAGTTTGTTAGGAAGATTAATAAAAGCATCCGTGAAAATGGGTGATGTACAGTGAGTGTGCAATAAATACCAGATTAAAATTTTATTATAAGGGGAAGAGAGAGTATACTTCACAATTGTGACAGAAATCCGATGCCTTTCCTTCATTATCTCTGTGAGTTTTCGTTTGCAGACTTATAGCACCAGGGGACTCAGCTGACAGTGCTCTTGAATCTTTTCCTTCCCGTACCAGCTCTGCTGGCCTCAGAACTGGTTCCATTCTGGAACTTCTGTGAGCGCCCCCAGGGTAGGATTTAGGCTGTGGCTGAATAGGAAAAAAGGCAGAACTTTAATCTCGGGATCTTTGTAAAGTGTGTTTGTCTCCATTTCTAAAAAGTCTTGTTTTGTTCCTAGTCCATTAAATGCCTTGGAAACCCACCAGAGGGAAAACACGTACTAAAGATGCAGTTAAGATGAGGTCTATTCCAGGACACTGGGATACTTGTCTGATCTTCCTTTCTGGTTTAACAAGCTTCTTTGATCGGAGAGTCTCCAAACGGAGCCCCATTTTCCAAAGCCTTGGCAAACAACACTCATTTACTCACACAAAAATTGGGACACAGAGTCTCACTGAATTTTTTCAGAGACAAGAATCCAAGGCTCCAAGTTTTTCTGCCCAAGGGGTGGGAAGCAAAGACA